AAAACTCACATTAACGACAAATGACTAATTTACGTTATACTTATACTCGATAGTAAAAACTTACAAGTTCTTATTCTACAATTTCTAAGTTTAAGAAGCAAATGATACATCTACGAGAACGTGAACGATAATAAGCTAAATGTTAAATCAGTTCTTATCCGGTAAAAAAAAGATTTTTACTATTTCTGCTTATTATACGCTTGATACTCTTCGAATACAAAATAGAACGCACAAACTTTACAATACGGCGAAAATAAAATGTATTTTCTTCAAAAAGTCTCGAAGATTAAAATACGAGTTTTACAGTTTCGCAAAAATATCTTTACACAAGTTTCGACTACGATTCCTTCACGTGCAACATCCTACATCCATCGATTTCACATCGTTCGTGTGAACGTACACGCGCGACTACACACACACACACGCACACACATACACACACACATAAGAAGTCAGTATTGTTCCATTTTCGTGTTGGATCGGGCAACAGCCAGCCGGCTGGATGATGACTCGATAGGGTAGATCGATGTTGTGTATCGCGAATCGAATCGGGTGAATCGATGATCTTGGAGGATTCGTGTTTCGTCAATCTCGTAGAGTTCGATGGATCGATCATTGCACCTCGCAAACGAAAAAGGTCTCGAAACTGCACGGACTGTCGTTCCACTTCAATCCCTTCCCATCCCTGTTCCACAGCTCGAGGCAGTGTTCTTCCTCACCGTTCTCGTATCTGTAACCAAATGCAATCGTGAATTCACGGTGTTTTCTTTTCCTCTTCCTCGAGAATAGAACTAATCCTCGACCAACTTAGTATTTCGTTACGCTCGCTCGCGAAAAATTGCAAAAGTTTTAAAGGGAGGGACGGGGGGAGGGAGGCAATTTTTTTAACAGTGGAGGGGATACCTGAAATTATTCGGCTCGCCCACGTTCCAATTTTCAAAAGTGATAGGCCTTCCATTGGCCATCCAGAAGAAAGTGCCTTCCTCGGCCTGGTCGGTACCGGAGGTCCAAAAATGCTCGTGTCCAAGGCCAAAATCCTTAATGTGCTTCTCCAGTCTGTCGTTCTCCTCCTGCGACGCTATGCTCGCCAGATGCATCCCGTGATATCGGCAATATTGAGACGCTCTGTACCAATTGGCCTGCAACCAATAAAATAATTCGCATTTCAAAATCATTTTATCTTATCTTATGTTTGTTGATACAAAGATATGATTTTTCTCGTCTCTATGTTAATTTTTCCAGGGATAAAATTAATCAAAAGTCTCGTCACGTCACGTTTAGACGTAGATGTAATAAAAAGTGAATGGAGCGAATTGATCGTACGCGATAAAGTTAGGGGAACGATAAACGTCGAAGCGAATAATATGATGCATTGATTCGAATGGTAATTTGTTATCGTAAAGTGAGATTCAATATAATTTGATGTAATTAAAAGGGACACTGGTTTGGGACATTAACAATAATTGTTCGTTAAATTATGGAGTTTGATATAACACTAGTCTTTGTACGTTTAAACCGTAGATACAATTTGCAGTATTATATGCGTGATACGCTTAATGCATTGCGTTTACGTAATTAAATTAATTGATATTTTTTTCGATTCGAAATATTCACGTTGTCAAAATGTAATACACGTAAATCCTATCGAATTAGCGATTTATCTATTAATCGCCGAAACTGACGTATCAATTTTTATCGCAATCGTATCAGTTTCACTAGTTTAATGATAAATATATTCTCTATAAAAAAAATAATGCATCTTCCTACCGTTCTTTCTAACCGTTTTAATAACTAACTCTCGTTTTGCACGCAATGCATCATTTTTTCAACGAGAAGAACCGTCGTCGAATTTTCGCGACGCGGAGGAACTTTTTCCCCGTGGTTGAAGAAAGTCGAGTCCACGCGTCACTTTCTACGCGTGGAAACGGAGAAGAAAAGGAGGAGAATAGAGGAGGCGAAAAATCAGGCGAAAAACTCAGGCCAGAATGCAAATAAATCCCGATAAGTGGAAAATTCACTCCCCTTTTCGTGTACCATCGTAGAATAAACTACCCTTCTTTTTCTCCGTGTCGTTTACGACACCCAATCTTTTCGATATCCCGTTTCGCTTGTTATTCTTTTTCTTTTCGGATCAAATCGTATCAATGATCGATGTGACTTTGGTTTTACTCCAGTTTCCATCCCTCCTCCCTTATTTTCCTCCCCGCTAAATCGTTTTATCGCTCGAATTTTTGACGAAACCTCGAGAAATCGCCTCCCTCCCCTCCCCCTAATTTATTCCTCAATGCGGTGATCGAATTTACCGAAGAATTACCGGAGCTCGAGTCGATCCCCCCGATGAAAATACCGGTTCTTTATGGGCAGAAAGGGCAGCGCAGACGCTCGTTCCGTCTAGCAAATTACCCATGGCAATCGATGAACGTGAAAAGAATTATTCGCGATCGCGTATATACCGAGCCACCCTGTTTTCTCCCGTAATTACCCTTTTGCTTGGTGCAAAAAAAAAAAAAAAAAAAAAAAGAAAAGAAAAAGAAAAAAAAAACGAACGCACATCGAACGTCTATTCGAAGGTTCGATCGTGGCCTCCTCCTTTCTTTCCTCGAACAATCCGCGTTTGTTCTTTACATTTTTTTTCGAAATTGAAAGGGATCTCGAGCGTCAACTGCGATATAAGATAAAACCTATCCGATAAAATGGCTCGAAATTTGCTCGATTCTATTTCGAAGAGAAATTTTTATTTCGAGGAGATGAATATTCGTTAGGTATTTGTATCGAAATCTAACGAAATTCGAACTCTCTCTCCTCTAGAAATCTGTTTTTTCGTAGGGAGAGAAAAAAAGGCAGAGTGAGAAATTACACGTATGCAAAATACAGGGGGGGGGGGGAGCGTTTTAATACGATTTATTTCGACGATCTAATTAAAGCGGGGGACGAGATGCTGCGATACACCTTGGTGGATAAAAAAATACATAATATTTTTCCGTTGAAATAATTTTGCGTTATAATTATTCGTGTTTCGAGCGAATATCTCCGCCCACTTTGCACCACGTTCAATTTTATTCATAAATCGTATCTCCCTCTCCTTTTTTCGTTGTCGCCGGATACACCTTCCTCCTCCCCCCAGCATGAATTTCGCGGAGGAGGGGAAGGGGAGGCGGCACGATTCAGCGCGAAAGTACACGAGGGCAAAAACGCGAGCGTAAATCCGCATAAATTTTGCCAGCCGGCTCCATTACGGCTGGCAAATGACCACGCAACAAGCATTCCCGTATTTTACAAGCGATAGGGGAAGCGCGAAAGAAACATGGGTCTGCGACATTTGCATATTTCGTTCCCATTGAAATATTTCTAATATCGTATACCAAGCGCGCCCGTTTACGCGCCAAAGAATTTCGCTACCTCGTTTAACCAAATTGATCTGGATTTAAAACGAATCCGAGGGGGTGAAAGTACGAGAGTAGCGATTCGGATTTATCTTTTCGACTGTGTCGGAGAGATCAGATATTTGGAATAATCCGTTAATCCGGATTACAGGGTGGTTCCTGGGGCTGTTCCTCGACGAAACACACCCTCGTTCAACGCTTTGCGTCACGTCCACTCACCGTCTCGTGAAATCTTAATAACACGGTTCCCGTTTGCTCGCGATTCAAAGCGATTCGACTCGTGGAGCAATCGTAGGGAGAGAGGGAGGGAGAGGAAGTAGTTCGATCCATTTTTCGTTGGACGAAGAGGAATTCGTGGTCACGAACTGGGAGAACTCGAAGGGGTTGTAGGGTCTAGGTTAGAGGGGAAGGTGTGGGTTTAAACTAGACACGAATACGCGATAAATGGGTTAATGGTACTTGCAGGCATTGATCGTCGCCGAGACGACGCTGTGTTCCTGTTTTAAAGCGGAATGGAGGCGAGGTCGCGCGTCAACCCGAGAACAAGCAAGCAAGCGAGAGTCGTTGAGATTCGGGAAGAGGGGAAGAGAAGAATAAGATGATCGGTAAAAACAACAACTGTTTGCCCGTTTTCGAAAATAAAATAATAACATTTGTCGAGGAAAGATCGCGAAAGTTCCGTTTCGAGGAAGAAGGGATCAGGGAAGGAGAGGATCGCGCGATACAAAAAGCAAGGAGACGCTAGCGGAGGGGACACAGGCGAGAGCAGATCGATAACACGGGCCGGTCTGGTATTCGATGCACCGTGAAGCGAGCAAAGTTACGGACACGGAAATAATTCGATGATGTCCGTAGCGAGGCGAGCTGGATAGATAAATCAAAGTGATCGGCAGTGGAAAGATACCTTGAAGAAGATCCCCAGGTAATATCTTTTCTCGCCGAGCTTGAGCAGCGGCATGGTCCATCTGGAGGCGGCGAGGTTGGTGGTGTGCTCGTCCACGCAGTTGGGACAGTCGTCTGTGAAAACGAAAGAGAGAAGATTGAAGGTTGAAACGGAGGACGGATCGAAAGGGCGAAAAAGTAGAAGAGCCCAAGTATCGTCGGTAATAATTACGGTTTTCGCTGTATTATTTACTTTTCCACAATTTCCTTCTTCAATTCGCGTAATAGATTTCTCCGACGTTGGACGTCGTCGCGAGAGAACGCAATTACCAGCGGAGGATCGGACTCGATTCGTTACGTAAAGCGGAAAAGTGAATTCTTTTCTTGGCAGCGCGATTCAAGGAAATATCGACACCGCTGCTGCTTCGAGCAATCGTTTTACACGGCCGAAATTTCGATAAAACACCTCTATGGAAACGAGCAATTTAACTTATTAACTCGAAGAACTTGAGGATTTCGCGTCTTCGACTTTGAAAGATAGATCTTTTTGTTCTTCTCCTTAAATTCGACTTAAACTTAAAACGACTCGGTCAGAATTTAAACATCAGATTGTATTTCGGATTAATATCATCCTTTTCGGAAAATAACGCTTATTTTTTTCTTTTTTATATTATTTATTAAAGCACAATGGTGGAAAGATGGAGAAGAGAACTGTTACTTCGTAGAGAAATCAGCCTCGAAGAAAGCCTTCCGTTAACAAAGGAATGAACTTTTTAATTAGCACGAAGTTAATTAGTCTAGACGGTCGAGTTAAGATAAAAGCAGCGAATGTATCTTTTATCAAATATTTTCGTTAAAATTTAAACGGGCGTTGTTACCGGAATAAAATAAAAAAAAAAAAAAAAAAGAAACTTATTTAGGAAGAGAAAGATTCGTTTGCTAAGAAGAAACAGGGAGAGAGATTACGTATTTCGTTTTACGTAATCTCGACGACAAATTTTCGGCGCCAGATGCAATCGATCGAGGTAAATTTCACCTTCGATCACCTCCAAAGTTTCGTATCACGGAACGTAATGCTACTTTATTAAAGTTTAACGTTATGTAAATAACACGATTGCAATTTCACTTTTTCTTGTCCCTAGACACGACCATACGTCAAATTGCGAAAATATTTATTAAATACAAGTCAGTCGTTTCTTTTCGTATTAAAAGAGACGACACAAGTTTGATCACGATTACAAAAGCGTAGAAAAACCACCTCTCACCGATTAATCACCGGCCCAATCGAAGAAGAGTATCGTAGGTGAACGTGTTGGAACAAGAAGAATGCAAGAAAAGAGTCTTACGATCCGGGAGAGGGATTGGAAATTGTCGCGCTCGTGGAATCGAAGTAATCGAGCAGGGGTAACGAAAGAAAGCAAGGGAGGGAGGAGGTTGGTCGGCGAGAAGAAAAAGGAGGAGGAGCAAAAACTTCTTCTCGCTTTCGTCGCTGGACTAATTAGGACGGGCGTTCTGCATATTTTAATAATCGCTTGGTTAATCGTCGCCCCGTGTCCCCCTCCATTAATATTCAACGGATCTCTCAATAGACACCGGCCATCCCTTATTCCCACTTTTTTTTTTATCTTCGCGCGAAAACGCTCCGCCAGGGAACCTCGTCCCTTCGTAAAAATATCGTAACTAGAGTTGCAAGTTGGAATTAAATTTTAATTTTCCCGATAACGAGCGAACGTTCGTGACGAATACTTTCGATTTTTGACGAAATTCGATATTAGAAATTTGATTATCGTCAAGCAAGGGAGAGGTTTCTGGAGAGAAATTCCGGATCGATCGGTCGAATCGAAACCTACTGTTTGACCATTGTTTCGCGACGCGACGGTAAACTGGAGTCTGGATTCGAGATGCAATTTCAGATCGTTTTGGAACGATTCGAATCCTTGGTTGTGCGTCCTCGAGAGTTGATTGGATTTAGGAATAGCGTTACAGCATGGTCCGGGGCGAGTCGATTTACATTTTGATCGAGTCGCAATTTTTCTCCACATTACGATAATTATTAATTGCAGATTTTCTCGCTTAAAATTTTCCACGCGAAGTGACGAGATAAAATCTTGGCCACGAAATGCCACGTTACGCGTATACGGATTTTCGTGTCGCGAAGAAACGAAAAAGTATCGAAGGCGTGTTAGAAAATTAATGCAAACCTTGGCTACGATAATCTTTGGAGAAATCGCGGTTTCGCCCGAACACGATTCGATACACGATTCGCGTTTTCGATACAAAGCGAAGGTGAAACGAGCATGTGTGTTGTCCTTCCTTCCACGCTTTGCGATCACTTTCTACGCCACGAGAAGTAGAATCGAAAATATTAGGGAAAAATATGATCGAGTTTCTATTACGTGTAATATTTTTAACGATAAAAATAAAATTGCACCATGCTCGACCATTGTCGAATCACCGAATCGTCGAACGAAATCCTAATTCGATGATTCGTTCCAACACCGAGAATAAAATATTTCGTCGCGTTGTTATTCGTCGAATTAATTATTTACGCGAAATATGTTTAACGGTAAGCGATTTATCGCGGTAATTTATCGAAAATCACGGGCGAATCACGCCCAAACGATGCTGTATGTTAATTGGAGCGGTCGCTCGATTATCGAGCACCAGTTTGTTGTTAAACGTCGCTATCTTCGCGTGTAAAGCGATCATTAACGATCGTTAATAAGCTCGAATCTCGGAATAATTGTCGTAATTAATGAACGCGTTAGAAAAGTTGGCCGTGAACCGTCCGCCACCTATTTTGGAACACGTCCAATCATCCGCCCTATAATTTTACGACAGGCCATAAATCTGATTCACCACTCGATTATTACGATCGAGTAATGATATTAATAATAGTAAATAATCGACGATACACGATTGTCAAAACAAAATATACGTAGATTTCGAGTTTTCCTGATAGAAATTTACGCATTCGGGGGAGACAGAGATTTTTTTCCAACTCCATCGAGTATATTTATCGCGTGAAAGAAGATCGATAGAAACTGTGTGTGTGTGTGTACAATGGAAGAAGTTGTCGTGTTCGTATCGCGTACAATGATCGGAGACAACTCGAGACAACGAAACAATTGTGCCGAATTGAATCGGCGAGAGAGGAGAAAGCCGTAGGATCGCTTCGTGGGAATGGAAAAGGCAGGTTTCCATCTGACGTTAAAACAGCCGGAATCGAGTTACGGAATCGAGACGCGGAGAAACGTGTGCGAGCCGTCTCTGTTGTGCGAAACCAAAATCGTCGTCATTTTTTTTACGAATAAGGCGGATAAGAAAAATTCCAACTCGGTTAATAAAAAATATATATAATAAGATTTAAAACTTTCACCGAGTTTTGAAAAATGAAATGAAGACGAAGATGAAGCGTCGCAAAATTCTTTCCGACGAGATTTCACGCTGAACGAACATTTATCATACTTGTTCCCGTCAAAATTAACGATTACATAATAATAATGCGAATTTCAGCTAAGAGTGATAAATAGTCGCGACGAGGAGGAGGAAGATTAGTCGGTCGTAAACTCGTAACAACGTCAAGATTAGAAACTTGTCGAGTTAATTGGTAAAAGTCTAGCTCCTCGCTCGGGTATTTATCTCAATTTTTCGGGGGCGTTGGCAAAGACGTGCATAGACTCGTCCGGTGGAAAATTAAACGTGACGGAGGAAGGCGGTTGCTTGGTTCGAAAATTCTTTGGACAAGCGGAAGATTATTCGGGTAACCGAGTTATTCGAAAAATCGAGTTGGAAGTTTGAGTCTTTCTAAGTTTGGGTCGTCGGGCTTTGCAAAAATGTCTCTGGAATTGGAAAACTGTCTTACGCTGTTCGGGACAACACGAGTTTGGCGAGGCGAGGGGAAGAATATCGAGATAATATATTCGCGATGTAAAATTTTTCTTTCTATTTCTACTTACTTACGAGGCGATATGTGGAGAAGAAAAATATTGGAATTTTATTATATATATCCCTATTTTTACAAATTTTATAGCATTTAAAAATATATTCGAGGATTTTTAATTTGGATTGTAACTAGGCGTGAAAAAAGAATATAGAAAAGTGAGAAAAGATTCAATTCATTGAATTTTATATTACGATTAAATTATTCGTTTTCGATTCAAATTTCGACGACGAGATACAGAATTAATTGAAATTTCATTGAAATTCCTGCGATAATCAACTCTCGACTATATTATAATATATTAGGTTACATATGAAATATTTAATTTCACAATTCTGTGAGATCATCCAGAATTCAATGGTTAAACGTTTCATTGAATAACGTTTATTATACGATTTAAAAGGCAGAGGGCGCGTGTATAAAAATGAATCACATCGAATCGAATTCGAGTGCTCTCGTTATACGAGTTTAAACTTTGATAAAACACTCCCTCCCCGTCCGTTAATTCACCGTTAATTCAGCTTTCGAAAAAAACTTACTTTATTAAAAAAAAAAAAATGAATCCATGTCACGGATACGTTGATTAGTTTCGATGAAAAAACTTCGATATCGTTCTCCCTCTCATCTTAACGAAATGAATTTCGCCATAACAAAAAACGTGGGCGTAACGCGATTACGCAGAGGAATTATTGGAGAAACTTGAAATAATCGGCTAGCACGACCTACTCCCTTTTATTTATTTTTATTTTATTTTATTTTCTTTTTTTTTTTCGCATAACGGGACGGTTACGTCGAGGAGGATAGAGGCAACCGGTTCCGAAACTTTCTCCTTCGTTGCTTTTTCTTCTTCGAAGTGGAAGCGGCCGTGCGCGTGAATCCGCGATGACCTTTCGAGTCGGATAGGATAATTAAACTTCCTTTGGGGAACGAAGTGACAATCAACCGTGACATAAAAGAAACGCGGGGAAAAAAAGGAACATCTTTAACTCCCGCTCGTAAAAGATGGGAGAATAAAAATAAACACGTGTTTCTCATCAACGTGTCTAATTTACCATTGCTTCGGATATAATACCGCGTCTTTTTAATAATCGCAAATATTTCTCTCATGCATATCTTTCGCTCGAAAGATCATCTTTCCTCTTATTACGATCCTTTTATTATGGGATCCTCCAAGTATCGCTCGTCCAAATCT